GTATGCTACGCTGTACCTATTGCGCGCACCCTACGCAGAAGTATAAATTGGCCTTTAGTGATATATAATTTTGATTTGGGCAGGTCAGCTCCTCCCACAGCAATTACATCATCAGTGAAGCTCCTCCTACTGTAATTCCCCAATAAATGCTGTAAATTCCCATCAACTACGAGTGAAGACGATCATCAGAGCATCAGGAAGAGCTGAAATCTGCAAAGACTGAGTTTATTAAAGAGGACAGTGAGAACATGAGTGATCCGGAACCCTGCAGAATGAAACACACTGAAGATCCTGAAGAACAAAGAGGTTGGTGTTTATTCTTCATTCATTCATGATGCTGGAGAACATTCATGTTCATGTATCTCAGAAGTTCAAAGTATCTGAGGTTATTTCAGCCTTACACTTTCTGAGCTTTAATATTCACAGGCACTAGTCCGTATCTATATCTGATTTGTACAGCCCTTTTGATTTATTCATCCCACAATTCAATTCTGGTTGCGTTTTATACAGTAAGTTCCATTAGTGACTGGATTCTGTGATTCTATCCTGTTTTCTGCATCTCGGGAATCAAATGCTCTTACAGTATTAAAGGAGAACTCCGGTGCAAAATGAACCTTTGGTCTAATAAAACATAGGTATCTATTCAACCGTTCTCTGAGATTTGTTTTCATGTTAATCGAATGTAAAGAGTTTTATTTCTAAAAAAATGTTTAGCGTATAACGCTAGTACTGGGGGCATTTACTAAGTAAAAAGAAATCGCTAGTTTATACCACTAACAAGGCTCAAAGTAGCCCCACACTAACACAGTAACATACTAGCCGCGTTTCCACTGCCGGGCCAGGGCCGAGCTGTGCTAGTGCGTGCCAGGGCCAGTCGCGTTTCCACTGTCACTTCTGGGGCTTGATCAGGGCTTACTCGGGGCCAACGGCCAGGATTTCTGGCCCGTCGAATACCTTGGGCCAGAGGGGGCCAGCTCGGGCTAGAGGCGTGCTCAAGTTAAAAGAGTTTATCGGTGTTATGGAACATTATGATCTAAAGCAAGATGCACATTTCCCTTTTTTTATATCGCGCAAAAAAATCTCTGCTTGAAATGGAGAATCGCCTGTACTGGTCTGTCGAGGACAGCAGCTCTTCTGAGCATTTGGGCAGAAGAAAGAATATGACGTCAATTTGACGGCATGTGAAGAAATGAGGATGTTACAAAATATATTGATGCCGAACTTTCTAAGCTAAACATTCAGAGAGCAATGCTTCAAGTTCAGGAAAAAATAAAAAAAGTTGCGGGCGCAGTATTGTACAAGGCGATTAAAATGCACAATGGACAAAGCGGAGTTCAGAGAAGAATTTTTCAATGGTTTGACTTGATGGACGGTGTGCTGGGTCACCGTCCCTCTGTTAGTGGGGACTCGCGATACAATCGGGACACTATTGCAGCAACGGCCGGTGAGTAAATATACATGCTATCTTCCTAACTTAAAAAATAAATTAATTCATAATAGCCGCTGAAATGGGTTGGGTTGTATGACGTTTGATCCAGAAAGGCGTGTTAGGGGTGGGGTTTAGGGCAGCGCTGCGGGGCTACTCGCCCTGCAATGGAAACGCAAGCCCCGTGCTTGAGGCTCGAGGCCACTATCTTGGCTCGGCTCCCTATTAGCTCTGGCCCAGCCCTAGCCCGGCAGTGGAAATGCGGCTAATGAGGGTCCCTGCATGCAAAACAAAGCATTGAAAACTTTGTAAGTGTACAGACCGTTTAATAAGAAGATACTTTATAAAGACAGTTCACTGTGTATACAGACAGGAGCCATCTTAGAAAATGGTCCCGATAAGTTGATCCCCGAACGCCGTTCATACAGTTCAGAAGTTCGCTGAACTTCATACAGTTCAGATCACTCAGCACGACATTCGTGGTTTGACTAGTCGACACTGTTTTCCAAAGATGGCGCTGCCTGTATACACGAAGTGAACTGTCTTTACACTCACCTAAAGGATTATTAGGAACACCATACTAATACTGTGTTTGACACCTTTCGCCTTCAAAACTGCCTTAATTCTATGTGGCATTGATTCAACAAGGTGCTGAAAGCATTCTTTAGAAATGTTGGCCCCTATTGATAGGATAGCATCTTGCAGTTGATGGAGATTTGTGGGATGCACATCCAGGGCACGAAGCTCCCGTTCCACCACATCCCAAAGATGCTCTATTGGGTTGAGATCTGGTGACTGTGGGGCCATTTTAGTACAGTGCACTCATTGTCATGTTCAAGAAACCAATTTGAAATGGTTCGAGCTTTGTGACATGGTGCATTAGCCTGCTGGAAGTAGCCATCAGAAGTTGGGTCCATGGTGGCCATAAAAGGATGGACATGGTCAGAAACAATACTCTGGTAGGCCGTGGCATTTAATCGATGCCCAATTGGCACTAAGGAGCAAAGTGTGCCAAGAAAACATCCCCCACACCATTACACCACCACCAGCAGCCTGCACAGTGGGAACAAGGCATGATATATCCATGTTCTCATTCTGTTTACGCCAAATTCTGACTCTACCATCTGAACGTCTCAACAGAAATCGGGACTCATCAGACCAGGCAACATTTTTCCAGTCTTCAACGGTCCAGTTTTGGGGAGCTCTTGCAGATTGTGGCCTCTTTTTCCTATTTGTAGTGGAGATGAGTGGTACCCGGTGGGGTCTTCTGCTGTTGAAGCCCATCCGCCTCAAGGTTGTGCGTGTTGTGGCTTCACAAATGCTTTGCTGCATACCTCGGTTTTAACGAGTGGTTATTTCAGTCAAAGTTCCTCTTCTATCAGCTTGAATTAGTCGGCCCATTCTCCTCTGACCTCTACCATCAACAAGGCATTTTTTTGTCCACAGGACTGTCGTATACTGGATGTTTTTCCCTTTTTACACCATTCTTTGTAAACCCTAGAAATGGTTGTGCATGAAAAGCCCAGTAACTGAGCAGACTGTAAAAAACTCAGACTGGCCTGTCTGGCACCAACAACCATGCCAAGCTTAAAATTGCTTAAATCCCCTTTGTTTCCCATTCTGACATTTAGTTTGGAGTTCAGGAGATTGTCTTGACCAGGACCACACCCCTAAATGCATTGAAGCAACTGCCATGTGATTGGTTGATTAGATAATTGAATTAATGAGAAATTGAACAGGTGTTCCCAATAATCCTTTAAGTGAGTGTATAAAGTATCTTCTTATTAAACAGTCTGTACACTTGCAAAGTTCTCAATGCTTTGTTTTGCATGCAGGGACCCTCATTATGCTGTGTTAGTGTGGGGCTATTTTGAGCATTGTTAGTGGTATAAACTAGTGATTTCTTTTTCATTCACATTCGATTATCATGAAAACAAATCTCAGAAGAATGGTTGACTAGGTACCGATGTTTTATTAGACCAAAGGTTTGTTTTGCACCGGAGTTCTCCTTTAAAGAGTTAGTTTTGTCAGTTATTTATTGTTGTGTTTTAAAGCTGTTACTATTAGTGTGAGAAGGGTATATATTTAATAGCGGTCCGCTCTCTACATACTCTACATAGCGCTCTTCATGACCATTGAATAGATACAGCAGCTGTTTCAGCAGTGAACTGGTATGAGTGTAGTTTAGTGAAATGGGTGTGGATTTTGATAAACGCTGTTATGTTTTTGGAATTTTTGTTCAAAGGCCTGGTTATAGTGTTTAAGCAATTGAGAAAAACTGTGATACACTCAAATGTACTATAGTAAGCCTCTATTTCTGTTATTTCAAGTTAAACCAAACTTTTATTTTGACATGTTTAGGAAAAATACATATCGTCCCGAAATTTAAACTGGTTTACCGCCCAGTAGTCATAACCTTTGACTAATAATCAGACTTATGAGTTTGTGACCGTGACATCAGCATTATTGGCCAGAGTGAAACACCAAGTTACACTGGAATCCAAATGAACCAGTAAAATTTAATGTAAAGAGTTAAATAGAATAATTAAAAATGACTTAAATTATGATATAAATGACCAATAATTGCCGTTCCTCTTGTGTTTCTGATATCCCACATGCGTTCACATGCGAAACAATGGGAGTCATTGGGAATTAAAGTTCTAGTGTGACTGGACTGCAATAATTAAAAGGTTTTAAGTACAATAAATTAAATATCAATCTAAACATTGGTATCAACATTACGACACTATTGTATATGCTATAATGCAAATATTACATTGGAAAATTGTGTTATTTGATCAAATGCATTTAAAGGGTTGGTTCACCCCAAACTGAAAATTCTGTCAGTATTTACTCACCCTCATGTTGTTCCAAACCTCTATGTGTTTATTTGTTCTGCTGAACACAAAGGAAGATATTTGGAAGAATGTTTTAATCAAAGGAATCTCATTCCCCATTGACTACCATAGTAGGAAAAAATACATACTATGGTAGTCAATGGGGAATGAGATCTGTTTGATTAAAACATTCTTCCAAATATCTTCCTTTGTGTTTAGCAGAACAAATAAACACATAGAGGTTTGGAACAGCATGAGGATGAGTAAATACTGACAGAATTTTCATTTTGGGGTGACCTAACCCTTTAACAGTTCTTACAGAAACATGGGATTTGTAACTAAAATTTTAATCAGTGTACCTCATTTATGGAAATGACTATTTGTTATTAAATACTGAGCTCTTTTTAGGTCCTTTAATTTCATATTACTTTTGTTAACCTTTTTTTTTTTAACTGACAATCAAAATTCTTTTATGTCAGACCCGATGGCGGATGGGGAAGAACTGAGTGAAGTGAAGGAGGAGAGAGAAGAACTGAGTGAAGTGAAGGAGGAGAGAGAAGAACTGAGAGAAGTGAAGGAGGAGAGAGAAGAACTGAGAGAAGTGAAGGAGGAGAGAGAAGAACTCAGAGAAGTGAAAGAGGAGAGAGAAGAACTGATGGAAGTGAAGGAGGAGAGAGAAGAACTGATGGAAGTGAAGGAGGAGAGAGAAGAACTGATGGACGTGGAGGAGGAGAGAGAAGAACTGAGAGAAGTGAAGGAGGAGAGAGAAGAACTGAGAGAAGTGAAGGAGGAGAGAGAAGAACTGAGAGAACATCATGTCAAACCTGGAGGAAAACCCTCTAGTCGCTCAAAGACTAAAAAGACTAAAAATACATTTTTAAAGAAAAGAAGAGCCAAAAAATCTTTCACCTGCACTCAGTGTGGAAACAGTTTCACAACCAAACAATATCTTGAGACTCACATGATGATCCACACTGGAGAGAAGCCGTTCACATGTGATCAATGTGGAAAGAGTTTCCGTCAATCATCATGTCTTAATGTTCACATGAGGATCCACACTGGAGAGAAACCGTTCTCATGTGATCAGTGCGGCAAAACATTTAATTGGGTATCGAACCTGAAGACACACCTGAGAGTTCATATGAAGGTGAAGCCACATTCATGTTCTGTGTGTGGAAGGAGTTTTTCACGGCTGCAATATTTACTTGCACATCAGAAAACTCACACTGGTGTGAGAGAGTACATGTGCTTGGAGTGTGAAAAGACTTTTACTGCAGCAAAGGACTTAAAACGGCACCAGGGAATTCACACTGGAGAAAAACCTTACAAGTGTTCACACTGCGACAAGAGATTCAGTCTGTCATCATATCTGAAAAAACATGAGAAGATCCACACTGGAGAAAAACTTAATGAGTGTTCACACTGTGAGAAGAGATTTAATCTGTCGGCAGATCTGAAAAAACATGAGAAGATCCACACTGGAGAAAAACCTTACAAGTGTTCACACTGTGACAAGAGATTCCGTCAGTCAGCAAATCTGAAATCACATGTGAGGGTCCACACTGGAGAAAAACCTTACAAGTGTTCACACTGTGACAAGAGATTCAGTCACTCAGCAAATCTGAAAACACATGAGATGATCCACACTGGAGAAAAACCTTACAAGTGTTCACACTGTGACAAGATATTCAGTCTGTCATCAGCTCTGAAAGCACATGAGAGAATTCACACTGGAGAAAAACCTTACAAGTGTTCACACTGTGACAAGATATTCAGTCTGTCATCATCTCTGAAAACACACGAGATGATCCACACTGGAGAAAAACCTTACAAGTGTTCACACTGTGACAAGAGATTCAGTCGGTCATCATATCTGAAAAAACATGAGAGGAGCCACACTGGAGAAAAACCTTACAAGTGTTCACACTGTGACAAGCGATTCAGTCTGTCATCATATCTGAAAACACATGAGAGGATCCACACTGGAGAAAAACCTTACAAGTGTTCAGACTGTGACAAGAGATTCAGTCGGTCATCATATCTGAAAAAACATGAGAAGATCCACACTGGAGAAAAATCTTACAAGTGTTCACACTGTGACAAGCGTTTCAGTCTGTCATCATATCTGAAAACACATGAGAGGAGCCACACTGGAGAAAAACCTTACAAGTGTTCAAACTGTGACAAGAGATTTAATCTGTCGGCAGATCTGAAAAAACATGAGAAGATCCACAGTGGAGAAAAACCTTACAAGTGTTCACACTGTGACAAGATATTCAGTCTGTCATCAGCTCTGAAAACACACGAGAGGATCCACACTGGAGAAAAACCTTACAAGTGTTCACACTGTGACAAGAGATTCAGTCTGTCATCATCTCTGAAAACACACGAGAGGATCCACACTGGAGAAAAACCTTACAAGTGTTCACACTGTGACAAGAGATTCAGTGAGTCATCATATCTGAAAAAACATGAGAAGATCCACACTGGAGAAAAACCTTACAAGTGTTCACACTGTGACAAGAGATTTAATCACTCATCCAATCTAAAAACACATAAGAGGATCCACACTGGAGAAAAACCTTACAAGTGTTCACACTGTGACAAGATATTCAGTCGGTCATCATGCCTGAAAACACATGAGAGAATCCACAGCAGAGAGAAGTCGCACACGTGTGATCAGTGCGGAAAGAGTTTCTCTATTAAAACTCACCTGAAACAACACATGAAGATCCATACAGTGGAGAAACCACATCACAGCAGTCACGGTAAGTAGTTCCCCTACTTACAGACTATTTTGTAATAAGAACGTTCTCCAAATATTCAGAATGTTGGTTCTGGGAACGTAAATTATTTCCAGTTTTCTTGAAGTTAGAGGAATGTATTTTAAAAGGTATAATGTTCCTCAAAAGTTCTTTCAACAATTTCAATTTAACTTCAAAATTCTAAGAATGTTGATTTGTAACATTCCAAGAACATACAAATGTCCAGTTTCCTAAATGTGAATTTGAACCTTCCTCAAACCAGATTTGATTGGTTTAAAATGACTATTGAACTCATCAATGATCTTGACTTGATCTTTTTATTTCATATTGTTTCTCTCATTTGAAATGTCACATGATTTTATGTTTCTTTTAGACCTGATGGGAGAACCAGAGAGAACCTTACACATGTGAACAATTCGGGAAGAGCTTTATGGATAAAGGAAACTTTAAGAGACACATGAGGATCTTCATTGTTTACTATAGCTCTTTTAAAAATAGTTGGAGTGTGACTTAACGTTTCTCAGTCTCACGTCTGCATGTCTCTCTTATCATATGGCGCTTTTCCATTACCAGTACCAGCTGGACTCGACTCGGCTCGCTTTTCGTTCCGTTTTCCATTGCAGACAGTACCGCCACAAATAGTCCCTGGTCGTCATACGGTGCCTTTCGTTCCTCGTTGCCCCATCAAGCTCTCGCTGGATCCTCTCTTGGGCCACCAAATAAAGGAAAGTCTGCACCTCCTCGTTTGACCACGGTGTATTCTTCCGAGTTGCCATAATAATAGTAGTAAGTTCAGTGACTATCTCTGGCCAAACTATTTAAAAATAGCGGGGCTACTCTGGATACTCCATCTGGCACGTGTAATGATGACGCAGTAAATGGTGACGATTCTCTCTGACCAATCAGCAGTCGGCATTGTTTTCACGTGACATGATTTTAGTATCGCCTTAGCTCGCTTAGAACCTCGCCAGAGGTGGTATAAAAAAGTACCCGAAAGCAGGTATAGGTACCAGTGATGCGCGGGTCAATGTATAAACAATCCGCAACCGACCGACGTTTTCAACTACCCGCCCGCAACTCGGACCGCAAAAAAAGTAAAAAAAAATATTGTACCCGACCCGCTTCCTGACCGCATTTTTTAAAAGTAGTAAATGCTCATCGGAGCGTTATTGGGCCATAGACGTGTAACAACACAGCATCGCAAGAAGACGTACGCCTACACATAACAAAGGCAAAGCCAGCACTTTGGTCATCATCTTTCATTATTTCAGCAAATGTCTCCCACACTTTTACTCTTTCTGTTTGTGTATTTGCAGAATTTCCACTCCCCAGTCTTCACCTTTTCTCTTGCCGCCTCCATCTCTCTGCAGACTGTAGTGATCATAGACATGGCCGGTTCGTGAACGAATCATTCTTTTGAACCGGTTGAACCAGTACACTAAATCGAACTGAATCGTTCGAAACAGTTTGCGTCCTGCGTCAGTGCTGATCCAGAAGTTACTCACTTTCAGACATGCCTGATAGTCCCTCCGAATCGAAATAAATCAAAATCCTGAATTATATTTTACTTCAGTAACTCCAACAGTTAACTGAACCGAGACATGTTGGTGCCACTGTTGAGAGAAGTGATGAGCACGAGCAGCTGATACTGCGTACTACCGAACACACAGGGACAGCAGTTCTCGAATCACCAGTATAGATCCGGGAACTGTTTAGACTGAGCTTGTGTGTCATATTCATGCCAGTTATTAAGCCAATAATGTGTAGGGCTGTATATTTCATCAAAAATTGTGTCTAGTACTATATTAATACAAATGTTTAATTGGTATCTTTTTTCAAACGACCTGACCGACCTCGACCCGAATATCATTAAAAACATTTTTGGATGACCCGTAACTGCGGGTAACCGCGGGTGACCGCAGGCACCCGCTCATTTCGGATCAACCCGCGCATCACTGACAGGTACAACTTTTACACAGTGGAAAACCAAACAAAGGCGAGCCGAGTCGAGTCAAGCTGGTACCATGTAGTGGAAAAGAGTCATATAGGCTTGTTAATTCTCCTTTATCCTGATCTATATGCTTTTGACATAAACCGACTCTTATTAAGTTAGGCATCAACTAATTTATTCTAAATAGCTACGAGATTTGTTTATTCTTTGATCTTTGCTACAATGGAGGAGCGTCACATCTCACTACAAACATTGTGGGACGCCATTCAACATATCAAGACTGAAATGCTGACGCAATTTGATGAAAAAGTTGATCCTATTCAAAGCAGTCTGGGAATCATACAAAACTCAGGAGTGTGTCACAGGTGTTCAACAGCTGGAGCAGAACAACATTTACCTGATGGATAAAGTTGATGACTTGGAGAACCGAAGTCAACGCTCTAATCCATTTAATAAACAACACTGTATTCCACGGTACAGGACGATTCCCCATCACACCATTAGTAAGTCATAAAACGCATTCATGGTGCCAAGATGGCTAAAGGAGATGTCACCCCCTCTCCCTTGTCTGTGCCTGTCAAATCTCACACCAGCGATGCCAGGACAGCACGAAAAGATTCTCTTTGTTCCCAAAACCCAAGAACAAATGGGCAAGAAACCCTGTGGTGACCCCAATAAATAAATTCATACCCTTATCAGGAAATGAAGGGTGCTAAAGCATTCCCATGGCCCTGATTCACCACAAACCTTAAACCAGGGACACCTCCTTTCTGCAGCTGTACATTCTAGAGACTTTTGTCTCCAAAACCAATAGAATGAAATTAACCCACTCGTGGTTTCTAACCAACTACGGCCTCAAAATTGCTTCCAATAAGCTGAATTCATCGCCAGTTTTTACCTCGAATCACGTCTGAAATCCGCGCAAGTGCAGTGTTGACTACTATTTCCAAAGGAAAGTAGCTAACGCCATGCCTGTTTAAATTAAAATCTTCACACAATAATAAATAAAAAGAACTCAAACAGCCAACCAGTGGGCGGGCTACGGGTTTTGAAACAAAATAGGCCTAGCCATAGATAGGCATCGTGGAGGAAGAGTGCGTCCACAGTGGATGGACTGAGGCGTGTTCTCCTCTCGGCCAGCCAACCGCGATGCACTTTGCACGCAGCAGCCAGATTTTCTTTACTGTGAACAGCAGCGATGATTAATAATTTGTTTTTTGTTTTTACTGGGCGGAAAAGTCTAAGCCAGAGGTCCGACCCGACCCGAGTCATTTGCTTACATTTTCGACCCGAACCCGCGGGTCCCGTTGGGTTTGTCGGGCTGACCCGACCCGTTGAGAACTCTACTTTATATCACCTATGTTTATTCTGTGCCTTAAACATTTATCATAGCTAAATCCTTATTAACTCCTACCTCAACTATGTTATTTGGTAACTACTTGATTGGTAAACAATTTCTAGAATTTTGATATAAAGTGAATTGTGTATTTAAACTATGAAAGTTGTCTTATTGAAGTGTTTTACTAAACTCTTAGATGTTTGAGAGTACACAATCATGTGAAAAGTATGCCAAAACATGCAAGAACCGTAGAACGGGGAGTAGGTCCCACCCAAGACAATGTCTAATTGGCTGACACACTTGGAAGGACAAGTTGGATGGACACACTTATAACCCAATGACAAGCAGCTCTGCGTTGCTTTTTGCCTAACTATTGCAGTGACTTTTGATCTTGCTTTGATTTTGTATGGACATTTTCATTGTCCAGCGCGTACACTTACATGCTCTTCAAAAAAAAGTCACTCCAGCAGCTCCTCCAGACTCTGAGGAAACTCTGTTGCATAGCAACCCTCAATTCAGGAAACCGACACACGAAGCAGCACTCGGCAAAGCCAACCAACCATTCACCATCGAGTGTTGTCCCTCAGAACACGTCATCGACTGACTGCCAGCTAATCAGAGCCGAAGAGTTTCCCGCCAGAAACTTTGTCACAGAAGTTAATGCATGTACTTACTGGAGCATCCAAACACAAGTAGACAATCTACAGCACTCTGGGAACAGCCTATTTGTTCAGAAACTTCTTTCTTTGTCAATGATGGCCTTCTGGACAGCAGTCAGGTAGGCAGTCTTACCCATGATTGCGGTTTTGAGTAATGAAACAGGCTGGGAGTTTTTAAAAGCCTCAGGAATCTTTTGCAGGTGTTTAGAGTTAATTAGTTGATTCAGATGACTAGGTTAATAGCTCGTTTAGAGAACCTATGCTAATTTAGAGAATATGCACATTTTTTTGAGACAGGAATTTTGGGTTTTCATGAGCTGTATGCCAAAATCATCCGTATTAAAACAATAAAAGACCTGAAATATTTCAGTTGGTGTGCAATGAATCTAAAATATATGAAACTTTAAGTTTTATCATTACATTATGGAAAATAATGAACTTAATCACAATGTGCTTAGTTTTTGAGAAGGACCTGTATATAGCAATTGTAAGCTGCTTTGGATTAAAGCGTCAGCAAAATGAATAAATGCAAATGTAATGCTGAACTGGTGCGACTCCTATTAAAGGGTTAGTTCACCCAAAAATGAAAATTCTGTCAGTATTTACTCACCCTCATGTTGTTCCAACCCCGTAAGACCTTCGTTCATCTTCGGAACACAAATTAAGATATTTAAGATATTAAGATCGCTCCTGCATACAGTCCATAGGCTTCTTGAGGGACTGGCTCTTGCTGTCCTCGAAAAGTCATTAAAGACATCGTTAAAATAGTCCAAGTGACTACAGGGGCTCAATCTTAAGTTTATCAAACGACGAGAACACTTTTGTGCGCAAAAAAACAACAAAAATAACGACTTTATTTCAACTATTCGTTTATTTCTCCCTCTGCGCGAGTCAGGTTACTAGTTTAATAGCGTAAGCTTCTGTTATTGTACGTCACACGCATCACACACACATGACCAGCGTCGGCCAATAGTGAGCCTACGTGTGACGTAGCTCTACGCAATCACACTACGTTAACTGACTTACAGGCTCATGGAGAAGGAAGTGAATAGTTGAAATAAAGTCGTTATTTTTGTTGTTTTTTTGCGCACAAAAGTGTTCTCGTCATTTGATAAACTTAAGATTGAGCCCCTGTAGTCACTTGGACTATTTTAACGATGTCTTTAATGACTTTTCGAGGACAGCAAGAGCCAGTCCCTCAAGAAGCCTATGGACTGTATGCAGGAGCGATCTTAATATCTTAAATATCTTAATTTGTGTTCCGAAGATGAACGAAGGTCTTACGGGGTTGGAACAACATGAGGGTGAGTAAATACTGACAGAATTTTCATTTTTGGGTGAACTAACCCTTTAAGCAAACGAACGAAGGTTGAATTACTATTTTTTTATTACTATTTTGATTCTCTCAGGTTCCGGGCAAGAAATAGTGGCTAGTGCTAGAAATTTGGGACTCCATTCATATTCCGTTAATAACATTAACTTTTCTGTCACTGTTTGAATGAATGTATATTTTCGTTAGATTAGTTTATGTGTTTTAGAATAGTTTAATAAAGTCTTGGTTGATTTTACATACAA